TCCGAAAGAGCGCCTACCGCTCCTTCCTTGAAGGTTTTTACCATCTATGATAACATCTCCAACTCAAATGAAGTAGTGCCTTGCTTAAAAACTGTGGGAGAGAAAAAATCAAGGCCATGTCTAGTACTTGCCAAAATCTGGATGTTGAAGCAAACTCCAAGTCTTTAGAATTCCTGTTTGGATTGATTGTAGGCTGTACTCAGTGATTAAAAATCTAGGTGCATTTTTTTTGACATCTTGCTGTAGAGGACTAGTTAGTGCACTGTCTGAATCCACTGTGTTTCGTGGTCTCTATCCTAGAAACGGTTGCTTTTCCTGAACTTCTAAATATAGTTTGCTTTTTAGCCATTTCTTTCCAACATCTCCCTCTTCCTCTTGCCTTTTTGTCTCCTACAGCTAAACTTGAGTAGAGGTTTAGGCTTAGTTTTGTGCACAGCAATGTCTTAGTAGCAGCAGTTCACAAAAAAAGTTAAAATGGTCATCACATGTTTCACATACAAATTTTGTGAAGTCATTACCGGAAGTCAAGTGTTGTAAAAGGACTACTCAGAATTCTTCTGCAGGATCCTGATTCCAATGGGGGGGCACTCAGACTGATGTTATTGCATGTACCTTTCGTTAGGGGCTGGTACACTTGTTCTTGGTTTTGACCTTGAGCTTGGTGTCCTCCAGATGTAGCTCTTGCCTTTAATCAGGGGGCATCATGTCCCCTGTTTGTGTTAGTTCTTGCCTCTAGAAAAGAACGTCTTTTGTATGATTCATTCCTGGAACTGGATGGGGTGTGCATACTCAGTATTCAAGAATCGCTTGGACAATGCTCTTGGATATATGGTTTAACTTTTTAGGTTGCTCAGTGTGGAGTCAAGAGTAGGACTCTATGATCCTCATGGGTCCCTTCCAGCTCAGGAGAGGGGTTCTGTGGGATTCTGTTCTAGACTTCTGAAGAGGTCCCTTGCAGGCTTTTGGAATTCATTCACGCTTGAGAGAAACCATAAAATAATACTGTTAGAAACAAACTGTGAGCAGTTTCTCACCATTTTGCATTGCTTTTCAGGCATTTGGAATTTTTTGGGGGTGGTTAGTCTCGTTTTATTGATTGCTGCCTGGTCCCACAGTGAAGCTGTCTTTCTTTCCAGGTTCCGCTGGCTTGCCTTTTCCATCCGTCTCTCGATCCCAGTGCTGCTTTTGTGACTCCATAAATCTGTTATCTTCTGTCAATAACTTTGCTTTGACTGCAGAGAAATGTAAGAGTGGAGTGGATCTGAGGAGGACAACTCTCTCTTTTCCCCCCATTTCTGCAGAATCAGTCTTTCCAAATCCTTTATCTGTAGCAGAACCTTGGTTTATCCAGAGTATGGTTAATGTTAACCCTTTTTTTTTTTTTTTCCCCTAGCTACATGGATGTTTTCTAAAGCCTTTGAACAAATTCACTTCGAGCAGTGATAACTGCGCAGCTGGAAGCTGCACAAACAGAAATGTGATGATTTGTACAGACTTGAACTGATTGCTAAAATGGCCTTCATATCAGTGTAGCTGAGAGGGTGAAAACAGGCATGAAAAAAATGTGTGAGGTCACCTTTTGCGTGTAGGTGACTCTTAACCTTACCTGCTGAAGTGGTAATAAATTTCTGCAGGATTTTCTGTTCCTGAGGTTGTGTGTGTACTGTGGTTTTCTTTGCCAATATGTACTGTTTACGTTCTGCTCTTTCTGCTAACCAGCTATGTGTTCTAGCCTCTTTGTTTTTTTTTTTGAACACCTAAGAAGCAGGAATATTTCAAATAGAGTATTGCTTTGTACATCTCAGTATTTCAAAAAATTCTCGTATAAAAATATATTGGATAGATTTAAGTATGAACCAGATGATCACTTTTAGTTTGTTTTTGGCTTCCCTAACAGATCTTCCATTATCAGCAATCAAAGGAGGCAGCTGGGAATTTTTGTAATATTAATGCTGATAGAAGAAGCTATTACTGGAATAGGAGAACGTTCTTGTGATCTGTCCAGATTGCTGTCGCTAAGCTGTGAGTAAGAAATGGGCACTATCTTCTAGTCTACGTTGCTGCTCCTTAGCAAGCTGCCCAGCACACAAAATCTCCACTGTGCTGACACTTTGGTCAATCACTGCAGCACCAGCAAAGCAGATGAAGAAATGAGGTCTGCCTTGAGACACAGGCTGTGGGTGTTTACTTACAGCAAACAAACAGAAATCCAGCAAAAAGCCTCACTAGCAACATTACAAATGCAACACCACCATCCCCACCACCGTGATGATGGTTGTAATACTGTGTGTTGTGATACAGTATTATTACACAGTCACGTGGTGCGAAGTTGCTGAACTGGCATCCCTTTATTAATTCCTGTCTTCAGATGCAGTGTTTAAAAATTGAGGATTCTGTTTGTAGAAATAGCCTTTTTGAAGTCTGATGGTTTTCTGGAAGTCCTATCCTCTTCTACTTGCTTTTAGTTCAGGAAACTCGATCTGGTGCTGTGAATAAGTTTAATACAACCTGTGTGTTTAGTTTAGAAAAGGACGCGCTTTTTTTAAAAAAAAAGAAAGCAGTTTCCATTCCTTTTTCACTTGGTAGCTCTTAGTATTGGTTTGATATTCTTAATGAGTTGATAACCCCCATGTAGATGTCTTTTGGGTCCAGAAGAGAAGAATGCTTTCATGCAGAATTGTGGGGGGTGTTATGTCTTGAACTCTCTATTCATATTGAAAGGCACTTTTTACCTGTCTCAGAAGAAAGATTAAGGAAGGTCTTCTAGTAACAGAATTTGAATGCTTAACCAAAAGACCTAGTGATTTGAAGGACTTTTGTTATTTCAATCACTTAAACTCTTTGCATATGGTGTCTCATTGTGTTCAGAACAGTCTCAGGTCAAGTATCCAGACGACTTAGAGGTGTTCAATACTCACAGCTCAGTAGCAGGGGACTGAAAATCGGGCTTGGCCTGAGCTCCTGACAATTCTGAGTTTGTTAGCTATTACCAGGGGGGGCTTCTCACCCCATTGTCTTGGGAGTCCTGGGATCATAGGTCAAATACCATGTCACTTGTTCTAGCACTATAGAGGATGGAGTAGATAAAGCCTGACATGCATGCTGAACTGCATGGAATAGTACAAAACACGGGGCAGTTGCTTCTCCAGTATTTTTGTGTGTGCTGAAAGGCAAGTGAAGTAAAACAGTATATAATGATCTGGTTTTCGTGGAAGCTGCTGTGGCAGTTCCAAGAAGCTTTATCTTCCTCTTTCAAGTCTGTGTGGCCAGCCTGTGCGTTCTAACAGTTCAGCTGTCTAGCTTAAATGATGGTGCTGACTGCAAGTTTTTGGCTTTGAGACACAGAAGAAAACTACTTTAAAAATAGAACGGCCAACTGCATAACTGGCTATGGAACAGGACATTAAATAAAATAGGTTTGGCCTGATAAATATGCAGGTCACACGTGAGGTCAAATGAAGGAAGAGTAGGTGTGTTTTTGTTTTCTGAGTAGGCTGCTGTTTCTAGGAATGGCTTTTTGCTTAAATTTAAAATACTCCCCCTTTTTGTATTTCATGAGGATCCAGGGGTCAAATGGGGGTGGGGGGTGGGGAAACTGATTATTTACCTGCTGCTTCCTTAGTAAATTGTGTTAAACTTGCTGAGGAGTAGAAGTAAGAGTGGTGAAACTAGAACAGAGCAAGGATCAGTCTAATTCAGGTGACTGGTGGTGGCTGGAAATAAGATGAGAAGAGGAGCAAGTACAAGGTGTATTTTTCCAGTGTACCATCCTGGCTGCTGTTACTCTGTGACATCAGGACCTCTAAGGCAGTGTTTACCACTGGGCTTAACAGCCATTACGAATCTCTTATTTAATTAGATTTTTCTGGTCTTCTAATAGTCATTTATACTTCTGGCATTTGAAAGCATCTTCGACTACGAGTTCCATATCTGACTTAAATGTAGTCTTACTAACTTGCTTATGAAATCTGAATTATTTTCTAGTCTGACTTCCTGATTTAGAATAGCTTGTTAATTTTGTGTGGCTTGTACTGTTGGTATCCCCCTGGGCTAGTAAACAGTTTGATAAGCACTACTTAAGAGGAACACACTGTTGCTCCTTGCGAACCTTTCATTCTGACAGCTGTGGAATGAAGAGGGATTGACCTGTTTCTCTCTCAGTAAAAAATAGAGATGGGTCACAGAATAACATTAGCTACAGCAGAGAGAGGTACACTTACTGTTCCTGGTCTTACGTATATAGGGAACCTCTCCTTTTTTGATTTCAGTTTATTTTTCCTGCTTAGTAATGGTTGCACTTTCGCCTTTTGCTTCCATTCATTACTTACTCCAGTTGGAGGAGGGGGGTGAAAAAAAAATCATGTTCTCTTCTGTCTGCAGAGGTCTGAATCTGGCTGGTTTTGTCAGCCTCTCTCCCAAGGAACAGCCAAGTGAAAAGGACAGAAACAAATGTTATACTTTAAGGTTCAGCTCTGCCTGTTACGTAGTTAGAAAGGTACAAGTGTGCAAGTATAAAAGCTTGAAACTTAATTTAAAAATACCTGACCTTACCGTATAGCCATTTATTCTAGAACCTTAAGCTCACCTTACTAGCAGGAAAAAAAGCTTCTCTGCCCACCTTTGCCAAGCTTGGGGCTCAGATTCAAACTATTGCACAGTTAAGTGTTTCAGGGAGACTTGAATGAGGAGCAAAAACTGCTGGCTAATTTAGATGTGCTGTGAAATGCAGTGTAAAATTCCTAAGTAGCAAGTGGAAATTTTACGTTCTTACCTGCTTCTTGTTTGCTGATGAAACCACAAAAACTCCTAACAGCTGTAGGTGTGCATGTATTAGAGGTAGATTCATTTTTGCTTTCTTTCCTGGGTGGAAGTAGCCTCTGTTCTTAGGCTACCAACTTGCACATTCTCTGTCTGAAAGCAGTTTTCATTTTTATGAAATGAAAAACTTGATAAGAAGGCGGCTAAAACTCTGTCATTTTTTCACTTTCCAGATATGAGAAATGAGTGTTGGACGCAGAAGACTAAAGCTGCTGGGAATTCTGATGATGGTAAACATTTTTATTTATGTGATTGTGGAAGTCTCAAAAAGTGACAGCGAAGAGAAGAATGCAGAAGGTCGCGTTATTATACCACGCAGCAGATTCTGGAAAAAATATACTCCTCACAAAGCTTATTGGAACAAACAGCAGCAGAAGCTCGAACTGCTGTACAACCCTATTCTGACCTTGCTTTCCAATATGACTGTGGAAGAGAACTTAGTTGCTAACGCGAGTGTTCTCAATTCCTGTGACCCCGACCCATGGGTACCTAAGGAGGTTAGTGACTTTGGAAACTTGCCGGACAGATTCAAAGACTTTCTACTTTATCTGAGATGTAGAAATTACTCATTGTTAATGGATCAGCCAAACAAGTGCAAACATAAACCTTTTCTGCTGCTGGCTATTAAGTCACTTACACCCCATTTTGACAGGAGGCAAGCAATCAGGGAATCCTGGGGCAAGGAAATAAAATCAGGGGATGTGACAGTCAGAAGGGTTTTCTTACTTGGACAGACCCCACCAGAGGATAATTTTCCCGATCTTTCGGACATGATAAAATTTGAGAGTGAAACCCACAAGGACATTCTCCTCTGGAACTATAGAGACACTTTCTTCAATTTAACTCTGAAAGAGGTGCTGTTTCTTAAGTGGGTCAGCAGCAGTTGCGCAGATGTCCAGTTTATTTTTAAGGGCGATGATGATGTGTTTGTGAATACCCATCAGATCCTGGATTACTTGAAGAGCTTATCAAAGGAGAAAGCCAAAGACTTATTTGTAGGTGATGTGATCAAAGATGCTGGACCTCACAGAGAAAAAAAATTGAAGTACTACATCCCAGAAAGTGTTTATGAAGGTTCGTATCCTCCATATGCAGGGGGCGGTGGGTTTCTGTACTCTGGTGATTTGGCATTAAGACTGAATAATGTATCTGACCAAGTACTCCTTTACCCTATCGATGATGTTTATACTGGAATGTGCCTTCAGAAGCTTGGGCTTGCTCCAGAAAAACACAAAGGCTTCAAAACATTTGATATCGAAGAGAAATACAGAAATAACATCTGTTCCTACACAAACTTAATGTTAGTACACAGTAGAAAACCTCAAGAAATGATTAAGATTTGGACCCGCTTGCAAGATCCACACTTAAATTGTTAAAATAACGTGCTTAAGTGTCTTAAGTCCAGATAGCTTTCCAGGTTTGGGTCTGGCTTCCTTGGTGGACTGCTGAAGCTCTGTTTAATTTTCTCTGTAAACTTTTTCCTGTACTTTTGAAAATGAGAATAATACTAAAATTTTAGAGGATGGCTTGAAGACTTGGTCCTGACTTTTCCACTGTCCTGGTGGTCATTATGTTTCAATATTTGTGTTAAATTACTTTTAGAAAGGACTTCAAGGATGTGACTAGCTGTCAGTGACTGGTTAGCTGTCTTGGTAACAGGGACTGCCGACTGCAATGCATCTTTCATTAATTGTGGTGGTGGAAGATATTTTTTCCTTGAGTAGTGTTTATGTGTGGGGGTGTGGAAACCACTGTAAATTGAAAATTAACAAATTGGAGGAATGTAGTTTAACTGTGAAACACTCTTGCAAGACTTTATTGGGGTTTTTTTTAATTTTATTTATAGTTTTCTGTCTTTTTTTGCACCCCGGAACAGTATTTTCTCCTTTACTTACGATGTTTTGTGCAAAGCATGCCTGTGTCTGAAGGATTTACCCCTTTTTTACATGTTGTGGTTTGGTTTGGTTTGGGTTTTTTGGTTGTTGGGTTTTTTTGGCTTTTTTTTACCAAAAAAGCATAATAATAATTTGAAACACACCAGCCAAAAATATAAGGAAGAGGAAGAACTGATTTTGTTTGGGGCAGGGCAGTAGGTAGTTAGGTCTGCCCCCTGCCCTAAGCTTACATGAGGTAAAGCTGACCTGTTGCTCATGTTATTTATGTGAAAAGCTACTCTGGTCTCAGTCCTCGTTTTCTCTTTTGGCACTAAATGTGATCAGGTAGCTTGATTTGATGAAAGTAACTGAAATTGCACATTGCTTATGAGAGCATGGTTTGGATCTCCTATGAAGCGATAGCAAATCTCGGATTGTGTGGATCCTAAGAGTTCGGAATGTTGAAGCAAACTTCGAAGTTGCATGATATCTTACGTAAGAGTTCAGTATGTTCTCAAAACTCAGATTTTCTTCTGTGTTCCCACACCTTGCTTCTAAGAATTATTCTAGGTAGTGGTTGCTTCCTTTGTATATGTAGAAGTGCCTGTCTATTTATTGTTCAGATTGAAGACCAAAACATTTTCTTAAATATATTTTGTGTAACATTTTATTTGTATAGTGTTGTCACTCGGATATTTAAATAGAGCATGGTATTTTAAATCTGAGGTGTGTAACATGTTAAATAAAGCTAATTGTTATTTTTGAATTTGAAAAATAAAATGTGATTTGAATATTTCTTGTAACGTTTCATGTGAGGCGTTATGTCGACGTACAGAGCGGGCGCGCTCTACGGTGTGGTACTTGGTAACGACGCGCTTCCAGAGCTCAGAAGCAAAAGGCTTCAGCAACTTCCTGTAACGCTTTTCTAGTAGGAAGATGTCGCGGTTGCGCGTGGGCCTGTTAGATGCTGTCGTAGATGGGCAACTCTGGCAAAAGCTAAAGGAAAAATGCTAAGTACAGAAATAACTGCCGGTACAGTAACACTGTTCATGCAATTGAAAGGAGTCGAGGAACGGGTTGAACGGCTGGCACTTGGGTCTTTGTTTGAAATGCCTTGGCAGCGACAACTCCTTTGGCTTCTTCTCCTGCCTTCTTGATCCTGTGTTTACCTTGGAGAACAGGTGCGGTGCTTTTTTGGTTTGAGGGGAGGGGTCAGGTTCACTGAGTGGTAGGGGTTGGAAGAGATGGTCCGGTTTTCTACCTTTGTGTTCTATAGATGTTCCCATCAAGCCCAGGATAAGGACAGAGTGTATCATGCCGTTGGTCTGGCTCCAGTGCCTTGTCGCTCCCCATAAGAAATTGCACCTTTCTGAAAGACGTGTGTTACTTCCTACTCTGTTCTTCCGCGCCGTGCTAAGCACTCTGCTTCTTTCTCAGTATTGCTGGGATTCCTGTTAAGAGTTGGGGCCAAGCGATGACGTTACGCTGATGATGCGGAATGCAAGTAGAGCTGTGATGTTAAGGATCTTCATGGACTAGAGGGAGAGGAAAAGGAGGTGAGCAGAGACTCTGTGGGTGAGCAGAGACTTTGGGGGGGTGGGCGGGGAGACTGAGAAGAGGCTGCTGGGCAGTAAGCCTAGTAATGAGTTCCGGGGAAGGATCAAACACGAAAGAGCAGGTTGCAGGATAAGAGCCCAAGAATTAAATCTTACTCATGAGATGGGGTGGAGAACACGCGTGATACTAACCTGTTAGTGAAATGGGTGGCTTGGTGGAGTGCCAATGTTAATTATTTATCTTGCACCCTTCGCGTAACCGTGAGATTAAAAACAAGCCTCTTGCGTAGAACAGAACTGAGAATAAGGACAAACAGGTGGAGTGGTACTTGCCAGGGAGAAATGGTGTGAGAAAGCATCCACCTGCCCTCCCAAGTGGCAGGAGAAACGGGAGTGGAAAAGACTGAGTGGGAGGCCCCAGTGGGCAAAATAGGTGAAAGGTACTGGAGAAGAAATTGGACTGACTGGTTTTGTTTGCTCTGGGTGTGGAGAAGCACCCGTGGCTGTACTGTCTGACTGGGTCTCCGGTCCGCTCCCACGAGGGAAGAATTGTCTTGACAAAAAATTGGGAGTGTGTGGGATAGAGACGACAGAGTAGGAACAGAGATGAGGAACCAGAACGCAACCAAAAGAAATGACATGTGGTGCGGACGGGATTCGGGGACCGTTGGGAAACGGAAGATGAAAAGTCTTTAAAAAGCAGATGCAGCATTGGGTTGTGGTGTCTGGGTTGGTTTGGTTGTCTTTTATTGGGTTTTTTTTGGCGTTGGGTTTTCTTTGGTTGCTGGTTCCCGTTTTGTGGAGCATTGCTTCAGTACAAGGTACTTTAAATGAAAAGTGAAAGTAATGTAATTAAAGCAGAAATAATGATTTTTTTTTTTTTAAATATGGACCAGTTTCCTATAAGGTAAATTTAGAGTGGAAGAAAAAATGAGGCAAAACTTTGTAACTGTCATAAAATAACTATATGAAGGACTTGTTTGGAATTACTTAGTGAAAAGCAAGCTGGGAAATAGAGAAAGCTAGATATTTTTTTTCTTCAAATTTAAGGGAAAGACTCTCCTAAGATAAAAGCTTGAGCAAATGTGACTACAGTGAGAATAATAGGAATAATGGAATTTGGAAACTGAAAAAAGAGGTGGTTTAGATGTGACAGCTGAATGTGGATACAGTCTTTTTTGTTTCCTTCCCTGATTACAGCAGGGAAAATGAAGTGCTGCAGTGATTAAATGCCATTGCATAGGTTAAGCTAGTAGAGTCCATTGGCTTATTTGTGTAAGGGCTCAGGTCCTTGCTTCTAAATCCATTTGGGAGGAGGAGATAGAGGCATTTGGATAAGGAAGGTAAATGAGCGATAAGTTGGAGTCCCTTTTTTCTAAACACCCGTTTTCTGCCGGTGGTTACTTGGACTGGGTGCGCTACGCTTGGATCCCTTCCCCCTCTCCCCGGTTCTGTTATCTAGGCTTGAGTGAAGAGTAGCACTCCACAGGATGGGTGATAAGAGAATTCCTGACAATCCTTTCCTCTTTTCAGTGTTGGAAGCACTGAAAGCCAGGCTTCCGAACAGTTCTGGCTGGAGAACACAAAGATGCGGTCTAGAATTGAGTCAAACTTTTGGGTTAGGTATGCAATTCAACAAGGATCCACGGGCAGGCAACTCTTAATTTTGGGGCTGGTGATGTGGTCACGAGCAATCTAGCTCTTCTCTGGTGCTACTGTTGTGCCCATCTAGCTTACAGTGAGCAATTTACTGGCCATCGTGTGGCCTCCTTTCCCCTCCGGCGTATTACACCTCACAGGCATAAGCTTTCTGCTGTGGTTGTGCTTGCCCGAGGGCACCAGTCCCAACGAGTTGGTGTCTGCACTGAGCCCTTTCCCAAGAAGGAAAGTTGAATAAAGACGGTCGGGAAGAGCCAGTCTAAATCTTAACCTCCCAGGAACGTTTTGATGTTACTAACTGTATGCTGAGAGATTTGAGGACATTTTCTAAAGGTCAGGGGGGATGAGAGACCGAGCAGATCAGTTTTTCTTTTGTTGTGCTCAGATCAGGCCTTTGGTTGCTAATCACGGTTGAGAATATTTGTATTGGCCCAGGCTGCTCCAAGTAGTGTTTAAACAACTCCGGCTGGCTCCTGCTGAGGGATGGCTCAACAGCAGCTCGTGGAGTTTGCACGCCAGCCTTTTCCAAAGACTTACCTTTGCCAATAGGAATGTTTGTACCCTGTCTAACACCTGACTGAACAAAGTGAGTTGGTCTTGGTGTGCCAGCTTTGGCTTCAGAGTCTGTGAACATTTATGTGAGCATGGAACAAATCCGTGTGATCTCAAATTTTGCTCTGTTCTCCATACTTGCATGTTACTGCCCTTACCTTTTTTTAATTGCCTTCCAGCCTCAGGACTTCAGACCACGGGTTATGTGCTTGTAACTTCGCACCCTTCCCTGCTGCAGGGGCTAGGGCACTGGGCAGTCTTCGCTCTCCGAAGAACCATGGAGGGAGGCCTCAAAACTTGCGCGTGAGATTTTCCGTTCAGGTCAGCAGTAGCGTGTCTGGTGCGCGGTACGACTGCAGAGGCCTGGCAAGCATCACTCAGTGTTGACCGTGGTTGCGCTGGGAGCTCAGTTTTGTGGTGGCTCAAAGGGTTTTCCTTCAGCTCTGAAGGACAACAGAGGGATGGGACCTCTGCTTTTGGGATCTCTCCTGTTGCTGTTGGTTGAGTTCTCTCAAGTTACTCAGCTTAGGTCAGGCCCTTCTCTGCCCTACCCTGCTGTATTCTGGGAGGGGGAATTGATATAAATACATACTGAACCTCCTGTCGAAGATTTATCAAGACAGAAATTTGCACAATCTCAGATTTTATAGGCAGAAACTCCAAATCAGTCATCTAATTTCTAGACTTCTCGAACTACCTCTGCTTGTTCAACTAGTGGCCTGTGTCATTTCCAGTCTTTGCTGGGAAGCTCCCCATCTGAATGCATCCCTTGTTTTTTGGGCCTTGTTGTCATGTCTTTGTCCCGTCCATCCCATGCTGTCACAGCTGCCGGTGGGGACGAAATGCTCCCCTCTCTAGTAAGCCTCAAGGTTTACTGGGAAACAACACCTCCTTGGACTCACTGTAATGGATGGATGGATGGATTTTTCCTCTCTCTAGCAGATGGATTTTTGGCTCCCTCAGACTCAGTAGACTTAAGATACTTGTTGATTTTGTGGCTTTCTGTTCAGTGACAGACCCTTCATATGGAGGAAAGAGACAGTTTGGTCAGTGTTCCAGCTGGGAATACACCTGAAAATTCAGCTTTAAAAGAAACCCCAAGCAACAGCCACCAAGCACAACCCCACCAAAACCAAAAAGCCCCAAA